ATTCAAAATTTCAAAATTTCAGACATTTAGAAAATACCACCCACGCAGAAAAACTGTTATTGATCTCCTCTTCTCAATAACAGTATACTCTCTCAAAATAAAAACTCCTTAAAATAAAATATTTTTGCCGTCTCCGATGATTCTCACCCCTTCTCTGATCATAAGCCATCCTATCTTCCAAAAGATTTCTCTGCGCCTCCTCGATTTCTGTACTCTCTCGTGCTCCGACCATTTCAAGTACCTTCCAAAAAGTCGGCAAATCGTCCCTCTATCCTCCCCATAATATTTGTTGTGCTCTCTTCTTTTCCCGGACGACGGCACAGAAAGAGAAAAGCACTGTATATCCCCAACCAACCAGACACAAAAGTAGTTTTTTTTTGCTTCAAAATAGCATCTTCTTTATCTTTTTTGCTTTTTTTTTCTTTTTGAGTTTTGCAAGAAAACTGTTCCTTTGCTGCCCATCTTTTTCACAGTCTACTGGTTCTAAAAAATTTCCCGCCTCCAAAACATTTTTGAAAGTTGTTGGGAATTTCATTCAAAACCACACCCTTGGTCTTGTTCAGATCTCTTGTTAACAAGTTTTTTTGTCAAATATTGCGCAGTTGTTGACAGTTTTTTTTAGTTACATTGTAGTTTCAAATTGCCTAGTTTTGGTTTTTTAACTGGTCCAGTACATAAAATTTTAAAAACTCTGTATTAGAAGGGCTAGCTCTTCTATTTTTCCAAGGTACCTCCGGAGGGTTTACTGCGTTTAAATTACAAATTTTACTGCGTTTAAATTACAATTTTTAAAGTTTTGATATAGTAATTCTATCTGTTTTCAGAAGTTTTTGAAATCCCAGAAGCCTGAAAATTTTTAAAAATGTTATTTTATGGTTCCTAAATATTCCAAAGCTCAAATCTGAACAAATTGAGATCCTGGATTAAGATTGAAAACTGTTCAGTTTTCAAAATCCAAAGAATTGAAGTTCTAAAAATTACAGTTTTGGAATTACAAAACTCCTGAAGATTGAAATTCTAACATTCCACTTATTCGAAATTCCGATATTTATTTGAAGTTGAAGTTTTAAAAATCTACAGTTTTCGAAATTTCAAAGTTGAAAAAAGTAATTTTAATTTTTTAAATCAATTTTCAAAAATTATTTTTTCTCCCTGTTTCTTGTTCTCAAGTGTTACAATTGTTTTCTCTATGGATGACTAATCACTGAACATCTCATTTCACAACTTATGACTCTTGATTTTTCTCTTTTTTTTTAACTTTTTGAGATCATTTGAAACAAAGTCAAAGACTTTCTTCACAGCTCATAGTTAGCTAGTTTTCTAATTTCATTGTTTCCGTTTCTTTTACAAAAAATTGGATTAAGGAATTTGTTAGTACATAATTTTTTTCATTGTTGTGGGGGTTTTAAGAAAAACTTTGAATTGCAGTGTGATTTCAATTCCAATGTTAAAAAACAGTTTTTGAATTTTTTAAGTTCTGACAAATCATATTTAATATTATGTCAAAATACCAGCCTTACTCAGGAAATTTTCCGGCAAGTTGCTGCCCAATATTAGCAAGTTGCTAAGCCGAAAAAAATGCTTGCCGCTGACAAACGGCAAGCCGTTTTTCGGGTCAGCAACTTGCTGTTTTATAAAGCAAGTTGCCGTTCTTCATGAAATCTAGATGGCAACTTGCCGAATCAAGAGCGTTTTTTTTTCATAATTTCGAAGTGGACATATTTATTTAGGGCATATTTATTGAGGAAACAGAGTGAGAAAACAATAGTAGGAAAAAAGGAAGTCGACTACATATAGGTGGAGGGTACAAAGTAAGGGAAATTGGGACAACAATATTAAAATAAAATCCGAAAAATTTTCCATGAATTTGAGGAAGTTTCTTGCAAATACGTAGGCATCCCTTCGCGTTTTGAGTTCTTCTAAATGTCTATCTTAAATTTTTATCAACTTCGACATTCAAGAAAAATTTCGACGTTCAATTATATTCAACGTTTCGCATCACGAACGATTATAGCAGAGGGTTCTCACGGAGTGGACTGTATGTGCAAGAACTTCTGAAAATAAGATTTCATGAACTGCTTGAGAAATGTTTCTTACTTTGTAAAAAATTTCGAAATGCGATCCAACTTCATATCAGGCTTGTCGCATAGGTTGTGAGAAATAGTGTGATAACTGAAAAAAAAGTTCTTAAGATTGTTTTTGAAGGTAGCAACTCACTGTGCCGATGCTTCAATCGTTCGCTTTTTCAGTTGTTCTTCGATATTTAACTTGATAAAACCACTCGTTCTTTGTGGATCGTATCATAATGATAATTTCGAACTTCGATGACTATATCGTAGAAAAATTATAAATTTTTCTGACGAGCTTTGGATATATATGGATATATATAATATATATATATATATATGGATATATATAATTCGACTTTTCCCCAATTTCTTGTTCCTCGGAGATCTTAGCTGTCCAAACCTTGAAAGATATTAATTTTTCTAGCAATATACATTTTTAATATTACCTTCAAGCTTTCCTTCCATTTCGTTGTGAAGTTAGTTTGAAATACAATAAAATCAAGCAAAAAATAGGATAAAATAGGACAAATAGGACAAAAAGAAAATCAATAATTCGAGAACATTTGAATGTCATCTGAACGCAGCAAGAGATCGGCAACTTGCTCTTTTCACGGCAAGCAAGTAGCAACTTGCTAAAACTGATCTTAGAATCTTAGAATCTTAGAATCTTAGAATCTTAGAATCTTAGAATCTTAGAATCTTAGAATCTTAGAATCTTAGAATCTTAGAATCTTAGAATCTTAGAATCTTAGAATCTTAGAATCTTAGAATCTTAGAATCTTAGAATCTTAGAATCTTAGAATCTTAGAATCTTAGAATCTTAGAATCTTAGAATCTTAGAATCTTAGAATCTTAGAATCTTAGAATCTTAGAATCTTAGAATCTTAGAATCTTAGAATCTTAGAATCTTAGAATCTTAGAATCTTAGAATCTTAGAATCTTAGAATCTTAGAATCTTAGAATCTTAGAATCTTAGAATCTTAGAATCTTAGAATCTTAGAATCTTAGAATCTTAGAATCTTAGAATCTTAGAATCTTAGAATCTTAGAATCTTAGAATCTTAGAATCTTAGAATCTTAGAATCTTAGAATCTTAGAATCTTAGAATCTTAGAATCTTAGAATCTTAGAATCTTAGAATCTTAGAATCTTAGAATCTTAGAATCTTAGAATCTTAGAATCTTAGAATCTTAGAATCTTAGAATCTTAGAATCTTAGAATCTTAGAATCTTAGAATCTTAGAATCTTAGAATCTTAGAATCTTAGAATCTTAGAATCTATCTTAGAATCTCTCAGAATCTCAGAAGCTTGCCCAAAATTTCCTGAGTAAATAAAAAAATTATTTCGAATAGCTAACTTTTTTCAGAATTTATATCACAATAATCTACTAGCTTTTTCAGCGCCCATCGAAGATCCCGAAGATCCAATGGCGTCAGTTTCGATACGAGTTCGAAACGAAGACGGAGACGATTTTGTCGTTTCGCCAACGGATGTTGTTAATAATATCAATGAGGTTAGTTCAAAATGTATCTTAATTATAATTATAAGTTTAAAAAATTGAAAATTTGAATATTAGAAAATTGTTTAAAAAAACGTTTCAGAATTGAATAGAAATCTGAAAATTCCTTAAAAAATTCCTGAAAAAGTTGGAACCTTCCAACAAGAAGTTTCAGGATTTTTGCTGTAAAATTTGAGCATTTATCGAATTTTCGACCATTCACCAGTTTACAATTTTTACACCAAAAATCCGGAAATTTCGTCTCAAACTTCCTAAATTTTCAGATTGAATCTCGACGAAACAGTCGTCGAGACTCGACTCCAGCTTCATCGATCAGAAGAAGTCGTCCATCTTCCGCGTTTTTTAATGAAAATGGGGAACCGATTGAAGGAATTACGAGGGTTAGTTCTTAAAAGTTGTTTTAGGTTCCTTTAAACCCGTTTTCAATTTCTAGAATTTTCTAGAACTTCTCTTAAAATCTCTCTTTCTAAATCTTGCCAATAGTTTAGCCACCACGAAAATTTAAAAGTATGGATCACATCATGCTGAGGCTGTTCAAGCCTTCCAAGGTATACATCCGCGTTTTATGTGTCTCTCCCATTTTGTCTATTGTCTTTCAATGTCTGGTAAAGCTTTTGTGTACTGGAAAATTTTGGTTTTTAATAGTTTTATCTGCCGACTCACTAGCATAAGGAAAATGTTTTAAGAAAATGTTTAAAATTTTCACTTTAAAAAATTCTAAAAATCGTTCAAGCTTGTCTTATCACTGTCGTATTTCTATACATATAGCAAATATTCAAAACTTAAAAAAAAGTTCTAACACCAAGTTTGTGCCTTTGTATTCCTGCTTTTAACCAATATGTGAAACGTTCAGTTTTTAAAAATGTTAGCTTTTGAAATTTGACCATTTTTTAGGCCAGGAAATCAAAAAGTGTCCGAGATGCGGAGCCCGGATTACGGTCGATGTTGTATGGATTGTCACAGAAACAGTAAGTTTTTCTTCTGGAAACGTTTTTAAATTTGAAATTGAATAGTTCGAAACATAAATAATTTGGAAACTTTCAAAGATCTACTTTTTGGAAAATTTTGAAATTAAAAAAAAATTCATTTAATCTGATTTATTATCGCTGTCTGAGAAAAAAGGTTAGAGAATATTTTTTGCAGTCTGCATATGGTAGCAAACACGAAGCGACAAGCCTAAATAGCACACATTAGGTGGAGACGCAGAGAAAAACTGTCTGCGTCTCAATCTTTTTTTTTCTCAGACAAAAATAATATTTGACCCAAAATCCTTATTTTTTCAGAGAGAAAGAAGAAGCCGAAGCGAAAAAATTGGCAAAAAAGATGATCAGTAAGTCAAGCCTCGTTTCTTATTTGTAGGGATAACGAAGAACACTTTTAAAACAAAGAAACGATTGGCAAGGCAAACATTTTCTATCAAAAAACACTTACTCAAGTTCAAATAGATCAGCATGTAAAACAAAAAGTTTGGCAGGGTTCAAAGGTAAAAAATCTGGAAAAAAATAGTTCAAAAAGGCAAACAAATTGCCAAACAATGGAAACAAAAGGTGTGCAAATTAAAATGAGATCAGCCAGCTGCGAAATGAAATCCAAACAAGAGAATTTTTTTCAAATTTTCTCTGTTATTTTGTTTTATTAAATAAATTAATTGAAAGAAAAATTGGATTTTCGAGAAAATCCAGTTTTTATAAATCTTCTTCTAGATTCATCTGAATTAGAACCAGAAAATTAGACTTATGATTAACCGTAAAACCTGTGATAGACGGACCCGACACTGTCATGTTTGAGCTCAATTATATCGGTTCCTGTTAATGATATCATAAATTTGTTAACTGATAAAATATTGGTGATAATGTGATAAACAATTTATCAGTTAACCAATTTTCGATATTTTTCACAGGAACCAAGATCGTTGAGCTCAATGCTGACGCTTCGCGTGGGCTTCTATAAGAGGTACATTGAGCGGAACCAAAACATTTGGATTGAAAAACTTAAACCAATTTTTTTCTGAAATTCACAGATCCTTTTTGTTCAACTCTGTCAGATAATATATATGATCTTCGTACTTGATCTACGTATACGCATCCCTTCTCCACCTCCACATTTCCAAATATTTGTTATCTCTTTTTTGGCTGTTACGTGTGAAACACTATGTGTGATAAGTATCCATGTCCCCTCCTGTTGTTCAGACAGTTTTTACCAAAATCTCTCTGTTTCTCTAAGTCTCTCCTATCACAGTAGTCTCTCAGCCGTTCGAAAAATCTGTAAGCGAGCAGTTCAGTGGAGCAGCACTTGACGCAAGTCGCACATATGTCTACAGTAATCAAGATGAGATAGTGTGTCACGTGTGAAGAGACGCAGACACTTCGAAACAACTGAGCATTCGGTTGTCATACACAGCATACTCTTATACTCAATCTTGTTGGTGCCAAAAATCTCTGTATTTCTCTTTGTCTTGAAAAATCCAAATCATGGATTGCCTTTGTTTTGGATGGAATTCAAAGAAACAGAAGACGTTGGAAAATGAAGAAATTGAAGACGACGTTGAAGAGAAGATTCAGAAGAAACCAAAGAAAAAGAATACGTCTTCATGCCTTCTACGTCTTCACATTTCACTTCTGAATTCGCTTCAAAAATGGATCGACCGGAATATCGATGAGCGACGGGCGTCAAGGAATACACAGAATTTTGTGAATACCGTCGAGTGTTGTAAGTTTTGCTTTTGAGGATTAATATGGCATCCGAAGTTCTGGGTTACGAGTTTTTTGAGATTCTAAGATTCTAAGATTCTAAGATTCTAAGATTCTAAGATTCTAAGATTCTAAGATTCTAAGATTCTAAGATTCTAAGATTCTAAGATTCTAAGATTCTAAGATTCTAAGATTCTAAGATTCTAAGATTCTAAGATTCTAAGATTCTAAGATTCTAAGATTCTAAGATTCTAAGATTCTAAGATTCTAAGATTCTAAGATTCTAAGATTCTAAGATTCTAAGATTC